TGAGACGGTTTCTTTCTCTTTCTCTAGCCACCTTAAATCCGAAGTATGAAGTCTTTTGGGTTTTATAACTGCTGAATCTCCAGTTGACACTGATGATTGTTGTTTGGATCTTTCTGGATGCCATAAGTTTAATTATGTAAAGTGCTGCGAGAAAAGCCTATACATCTAAACATCTCGTCACGCGCAGTATAGCCGGCTAGCCGAGACTCCTTCTTTATGTGTACGGGTGTGACGTCATGACGCAAAGACATGCTCGAATTTCCCGCGGAAACCCACCAGTACCACTGGAATTAAAATCATTATTACAAGCTAACCGTTTTGAATCTAGCTATGGCAAGCAGATAGTTTTGACCACTGGCAGAATAAGTTTTTTTTAATATAATTATTTTGGATTATTTTTAACTTAAAAAAGTTACGGACTGGAGCTTTAATGAATAACTACACAAGAACCAATGAGTAACACAATATTAACAATAGTAACTATTATTAACTAACAAGAAACTCTGATTAACGAACTAGTAAGTAATAGCGCACAGATGAAAGTGGTAGTTCACTATTAACTAATCAATAACTAGGCTACTATATTTTTTTTAATGCTTCCCAGAGAACTACTGAAAATTTTCATAATTCATGCAAAACTAATCAATAACCAATGCAGGACAAATGACTAGCACTACATTAACATTTTAACTGCTACTGTAAACAATACACAAGGTTGTTTACATTATCAAATTGTAATAGCATAGCAGACTTATGATTTGGGAAAGCTGTTAATAATTGGCCTATGCTGTCTATTTATCACCTGAATAATTTTAAAGAAATGGATTTTTAAATGCAGTTGTCGGGACTTTACTTGTCCTGTGGCCAATTTTCCGGCATTCCTCTGGACTGGGATTGAATCACTAGAGTCATGGTGAGTACTGGAACATATTGAGTCTTCAGCCACCCAAATACCATATACAGTTATTTTATTATTTAACCTACCTCCCCCAAAAAATATGTTTTTATGTAGGCTATGTCTCCTAGCTCATATATATATACTGTATGTGTGTGTGTGTGTGTGCATATCTTGTGAGTGAGAAGATTCTACACTTTATTGGCTTTTCATTAGTAACTACTGTAAGAATCTTGGGAACAAACTAGTAATGACTCAAGTGTTACTACATAGGCTACTTCTATGGAAATTACTAGTAATTATTTGGATCCGTATTCTAAAGTGAAGATCATGGGAACTAACTGATGACTCAAGTGTTACTACATACTTCTAAATACATTTTCCAAAAGTATACTAAAGTTCACCAAAAATCTCAAACGCTTGAAATGACTTTTGTGTTTGGTTGCACAAATCATGACTAGATCATGTAGTAACACTTGAGTCATTACTAGTTAGTTCCCATGATCTTCACTTTAGAATACGGATCCAAATGATTAGTAATTCCCATAGAAGTATGAAGTACCACTTTCATCTGTGCACATTACTTACTAATTCGTTAATCAGGTTTTTTTTTTTTGTTAATAGTAGTTACTAGATTGTTAATAAACCTTTTCATTAGTTCTCTGGGAATCATTAAAAAATAGTAGTTATTGATTAGTTAATAGTGAACTACCACTTTCATCTGTGCGCTATTACTTAGTTCGTTAATCAGAGTTTATTGTTAGTTAATAATAGTTACTAGATTGTTAATATTGTGTTACTCATTGGTTCTTGTGTAGTTATTCATTAACTAAGGAACCATTAGTTACCCACATTTCTTACTTCTGAACCTTTTTTAAACTTGCATGACGAAAATGTGTGTAATATATCACAACAAAATAAAACAACTTGAATTATTCTGTTTATGTTAACTCGTCTCCAACTCTCCCCCCATATCTATATTTGAAATGAATCGTGAGGAGATCGCCACCCTGGGTCACATGAACATAAATGATTAAATTACTTTCTTGAAGTGACCATCATATGTTCCCTTTGCTAACAGACTTGTGGAAGTGCCCTTTGTGAAGGGATTCAGTTAATTCTCTTTCGTATGGAATGGCCCAATAAATAGCGTCCCCTTCCCAAAGTGCCCTTCAAGGGTGCAAGAACGCCGTTCACCCTAGTATGTTACATGTGAATTATTGAATCATTATTCACTTCCTCAATCGATTCGTTAAAAGTAAACAATGATGATTTACGACCGAAAACATGTCTTATTATTAAAATGTGTCAACAGATACTCCAGAAAGAGTGTTTAAACGTAATTTTTTTAAGTTGCTTGGTTTACGTGACGTCCCGAATCTCATTCAGACCAATGATTCAAACTAAAAACAGCGATTCATTCAGTGAACGGGGAGTTTGCTTAATAGGCCTAATCAATTGCTGCGTCCCAATTCAGAGGCTGCATACTTTGAAGGGCACATTCGGATGTCACTTGCATCATCGCTGTGCGACGAAGGCTCCTTCAAACGCGGCAATTTCCTGTTGTATTCCCATCCCATGGGATACAACCTTTACAGTCTATGGATACAACCATAGACAGTAAAAGAAATGGACAGAGCGACCCCGTTGATTTCAACGGAGAAGACTGAAGCCCGATTATTGCACTTCCTGTCTGATGTCTGAGCGACTGCGCAGGCTCAAACTGAGCTTGACGACAGTCTGACAGTTGTAAATCTTCTAGTAGCTGTGCCAAGACGAATCTGAATCACCTAATTCCTCAAAAACTTTGTTGAAATATTTTGTCCCATTGCTTTTATGGACTCTCTATTTATGGGCTCCTACCTTGACTTTGTGCCTCCATGTCCCCCCGATTGCCTCATAGACAGTAAAAGATTGCCTGCGAGCTTCTCCTCCTGTCTACACGGTAATGTCTCTATTGTGCGACAGAAAGTCCCGTGGTTATGACGCAATCTTTAGCCTATTTTTTAAAAAACTGCTTCTACGGGGCCATAACGTAAGATACAAAGTAATGGAGCCTTTTATACATTGTCGTGTTTTTCTAGAAATAAATCATGGACAAATGGAGTCTTTAAACGCCTCAGATGTAAAGTTATTCGCTGTCAAAGTGACGCCAAAATGAATGGGAGTCAATGGGATGCTAACAGCAGGTGATGGTCTGCTACAATGGCGGCTCCCGCGAGGCTTCAACTTCCGGCTGATGGATTACCCCCTTGGATACAACCATAGACTGTAAAAAAATACAACAGGTGGATCCTACGCGGCCTAGCCGACCCCAGAATTCATTGCTGAAATTACACTTTTAAACGCAAGTATTGGGTTTCAACTTACTCAAATATCTAATGATACAAATGTAAAATACATTATTAGCTACAAATACAAATAATAATAAAAAACTTTAAAGCTGTTCAAATGTTGACGTATCTTACTAAGATGCGATTATATATAGTTTATACTCTTTATTATATACAGAAATGGACCATGGTGAACATGTTTAGACAGTTTGTAAACGGTTTTATTTTTCAGACAGTTTAATATAACTTTCAAAAGAGTCTAAAGAATAGTCTTCCATAGGCTAGACCGACCCATTTAACAACACTCGGTCCGACCATCGCGGCCTTCGAAGGCGTGGACTTTGCAGTCAGAGTCTTTCTACTGTAAGGACCATGCAGCCTTTGAATTAGGACACAGCGACCACTCAAATACTATTTGCTGGCTCTATTGTCAGTCAGTGAAACAAATGCTTCAGTGAATGAAATAAATGAGTGCAACTAAGCGCACGAGAATGATCCAGAGATGTTCTTATTTATGCCTAGGCTAGGTCTGATGATTTGTTCACGAACAAAACACCATATTTTAAATAAATAGTAATCAATCCTTATACAAAAATAAAGTTAATAAAAAATAAAAAAATTAAATAATTGTATCATCATAAAATAAGAAATAATTATTTGTAAGCACAGATTAATAAATATTTTCATACAGCACATATGAAGAAGTCCTACAAACAACAAATGCTGTTAAAATGCTTTTATTTTGAGAGTTTTCCCAGTAAAGGTGCAGTTAATTTGAAATGTTAGCCATTTTCATTCACTTTGGGTATTCAAAACAATAGCCACTCCAGCAGTCCTTATGTAACCTTTAGCTATCAGATGCTTCAATATTTGCCAGCTGTTAGATGTCAAAAAACAAAAATATATCTGCTGTTTTTTCTTCTTCCTGAGATTCATACATGGAATGCAAAAAATACTGCACAATAAATTAAACAATATAAAATCCACATTGAACACAAAACAAGTACACACGTATACTTAACTGGCAAGTTTAAGAGGAAAGTGTTAAATTCTGTGAGAGCTTGTAGCTATGGCATCTATTTAGTCATGTATTAATCATTTCACTTTACCAGTATAGTTGGACAGAAATGCTCCATGAGTCTGACCTGTAATGAATATAAGTGGACCATTCTTTAGTTAAAACACACTAGGAACAGGTGTTGATCTGTGGAGCAGCATAATAATGATTTAGAAATATATGGGTTTAAAATGCTATTTTAAAACTCAAATGTGCACATTTTTTTTTTTTTTTTTTGTCCTGTTGTCAAACTTGTTTTCCTATGAGCCGTCTGATCATTGTTTAGATGTAACTAGCTGGGTATTGTTTGACATCCCAGTAGTCTAACAATATATTGTACACTGCTGAGCAATACAGACTAGGACAAATTTGTATAGCTGCTTTTTAATTTTGAGGTGAAATATTACCTGTACTTCAGGTGTGCTTAGCACATCATGTGCCAAATGGAACTCAGGAGCCCGATTTTATGCAACGACTGAACACAACTGATGACACTCTGTCAAGGCGAACAAAATGTTTGACATCCACATTAAACATTTTAGATGAACAGTGTGCCGCATTTAACATTTTGCAGACATTCAAAAGTGTTTGATTTATTGTACAACCCCTTACATGCACAATATAAAAAGAACCTTCCAAAAAGACTAGCACTTAAGTTCTGGCACAGAGTTGCAGCAGGTTTCTAAAACCAGAGGAAGTGAGTGATGAGATCTGATTGGTGTTTTGAGTTGTTTATTTTGATTACAACTATATCGTGCAGTAATCCTTTTCACGTTTTTCACAGGTTTGGCACTTTGTTGTGATCTTCACTTGCCTCTATTGCGTAGTCTGAATGTGTTTGCGTGTGAAAGTGTGGGTTGAGGTCACCCAGGTTCCAGGTGCCTAAAAACTTCCACAGCATATTCTGCTATACCACAATTAGTTCTTCCCTCCATTTTGACAATCCAACAACATCCCTGTAATTCCAATCGTGTATCATCTCACCAGGAAATGACCACAACCAACTGCTCAATTCCATAAACATGAACAAAAATGTCGTCATAATTGTTAGTTCCTTAAATAACTATTCAGACCCTTCTGTGCTCCTCTTGAGAGTGTCTTGAAGGGCCGTCCCGTTAAAAACACGGGGATCACTATTACACACCCAATTTTCGCCTGGGAATGTTGACTCTACCTCCTGATTGGACATAGACATCAAGCTTATGAGATCTCCTCATCACACCTCAATGGCTAATACTCAGGGCTGAACCATCCAGATGTTGGCATCCTCTTGCCCCATGTCCTCCTCTTCCTCCTCCTCTTCCTCCTCCTCCTCTTCCAAAGGTTCTTGGGTCCTGAGGGCAAGCTCACGGAGGAAGTCAGGTTCATGAGCTGAGTTCTGGGAGGCGGACTTGAGGCCGATCTTCTTCTTGGTTAAATGGAACTGGTCACGAATGAAGTTGTAAAAGTCGTACTCGTACTTCATCCTTTGGTAAAGCACCTGCAGGGCCTCTATAGTCGGCATGTGCTTCTTCACTGTGCCTGTAAGGTTCCCCATCTTCCAGAATGCTGCAGAGAAATCAGATTTACAAAACTATGAGCCACAGACAAATCAACAGTATGCGATTCAAAATAATTTAGCACATCAGTTTTAAGGTGAGTTTAATTTTCCAAAACCTTCTCAGAAGATTTAAATACTGTTTTGAATTTTCTCCTTACTTCACCAGGTTTAAAAATGCTCTTTTATTTCTATTCATATTTGAATTTGAATTATTTTTATTTAATTTCTTACACATAAATTCAAAGCAATTGAATAAAACACACTTGGACTCTTGTAGATGCTTAGGACATCACTAAAGTAGTGAGGTAGGAGTCTCTCCAGCAGGAGCAATACATCCTCCAGCTCTTCCAGAATCCCAACAAGTAGGAAGTTCTCTATAACGTTTTGTTTGGCCCTCTCCAAAGCCCAAACTCCAGGCTCTCTGTAGCAGACAAAGAAAAATGACATGAAAACATCCAAATATTTCAGTTTGCAAATACTGAAGAGATTCTCTGTGAAAACAGAAACCTGTGTGACGCTCATTCTTCAGTGAAACACAAAAAAGAAGAAATCTTGAAGAATTTTGGTAACCAAACAGTTTCGGTTCCCATTGACTTCTATTGTATTTTTTTTCCATACAACAGAAGTCAATATAGGGAACTCAAACTGTTTGGTTACCACCAACATTCTTTAAAATATCTTTTTTTTGTGTTTCGCAGATTGCAGAAGTAAGAAAATCATGCAGGTTTTGAACAACTAGTCAGTGAGTGAAAGTGCAGGGTAGTAATAAAATCTGCATGATTACAAAACAGCTATTTAGCTCGATAATCTTTACATATAGTGATACACATGCATAAATAAATGAATTATAAAACACTAACTCATCAACATTAATACCCAAATGATGGGTCATAATTACCTGCACTGAGGGTGTTGTCCACAAAAATATGGAACAATGTAAAAGAGGCGTGGGTTGGTGCACTCCGGGTAGTTCTCCATGATGCAAACGTTAATGTCCTGCAGTGGAGACATGGGGAAATAAGTCAGACTGACAGAGCTACAGCCAAAAAGAAAGCAGCACATTGAACAAAAAATTGGCAAACAGAGCAAAAATTCGAAATGTGCTTATAAATCATAGACATGCTCATTTTCACTGGACTATATGCTTTAATACTGTAGCAGCCCCATCCAACGTAGCACCAATCAGTTCTAGTGAACACAAGGGGGCACCACTTACACAAGCAACCAAACAGTCTTCTGAAAGTTATGAGACGCCACTGACGGTACATCCAAAACACAAACAATCACTCATCTGTAAGAATGTTTTATCACTTTATTTGATCCCAAAGCTATAATTAACACTGGGAACATTAGAGGTCTATGAAACCAATGTATTTTATTTCCATTTTTATCTAGCAAAAAGAAACCAGACTAAAGAAGTCCTGAGATGCCAATTCTCCCTCTGCCCTTGTTTAATTATCAAGACTACAATACGTGTAGCCTGGTTAAAACCAGACCATTCTCAGTTGCAACTGAGTTATGGTCTGGCAAAGCGTCATAGACAAATCATTTCCAGAGGGGCGTCACCAACGGACGTTGCGGATAGACCTAAAACCAATCAGAGCGATGAAGGAGATGACGTATGCAGAGCGGTTGCTCCGAGTGTTGTTCTTTGCTCGGTTTTTAACAAAAAGGAAACGTTCAAATCGCGTAAAACAGACGCGATAGCTGATTCGAACGAGTGATGTTCGACGGCGGCATCCATCTTTGTAATGTACATTAAAAACATTAAACCGCCCCAACGTTTCTGATTGGTGCCTCGATTTCGGCGGATTGGAAATGGGCTTGAATGAGCTCTTTGCCAGACTAACTTTCAGAGCAAATCTAAATTTGCCAGAAGTTGTCTGGGTTTTCCCAGGCTACAATACCTGAAGTTCTCAGAGAACAATATGGACAAGAAAAAAAAAGATTATATGGAAAAAACGATATGAAGTTTTCCTCAAAACAACAATGCAGCCAACGTTGCTATAATGATGATACTACGTGAGAACATATTACATGCTGAAAAGTAGAAGTTTCTTGGAAAAGAGGGCAATTTGTCAAGTTAACAGCCTCGTCTCTAACTCGTGCACAAGAGAGGTTAAGTAAAGACCACATAGCCACAAGGCTCCAGACTCCACGCACTCCTTCCCTTTCATGAGCCCCAGGTGGGGGAATCACATGCAAGCTGTGGGTCTAGAAGAGAAGGGCCCTCATGCTGGCAGGTAGAAAAACATACTCGTGAGTTATTTCAGCATTAATCTTTCACCGTACAATGGCCTTTACACATGCCAAGCATGAGTCGATATGTGAACATTATTTCTCCGCCTTTCATTAAGCCCTAATTCAGGAAATTAAAAGGTCCCCTAAAGGTGAAACATGTTTGCAATACATGTTGTTTAGTCTGGAATATTTTAGAAATTTACTTTAGGATTATCTCCATATCCTGACCATTAAAAGTATGAAGGTTTTTCAATTATGAGTAACTTTCGAATATTAATGTTTCTGTTAGTTTCTCTGGTTTTGTTTAACCCTTCAAAATGGTGGATGATTTATGTAATTAAACTGTAGACTTGAATATCTTTGGAATTTTGCTAATTTTTACGATGGTTTTAACTTTCAGTTTTTAAATATCAGTCAACTGGCTTTTTTGTTTTACTGTCCCTGTCCCAAATTCTGTACTTTCACATTCTAAAATACTTACTCCATATTCTAAATATTTCAGTGCACTGCTTTCTTTTCTTTCACTAAAACAATTAAAATTGTGGTCAGATTTTAAAATGCAATTTATAAAAATAAGTCCAGGATAGATTGCACCCCTAAATTAAAGAACCATTATGAAAATTCTCCTTTTTTTTATTTGCATCAAATCAAAACTGCCTTATATCTTAGCTTCTCTACCATTTGCCACACACGTGCACAGGTTTTAAACAGTATTGAACATTAACATACAATGGAATGGAATTTATACACAATTGAAATGAAGTTAAAGCATATTCAATTAATTTAAGCATACGCCTTCAGATAAAAGGCTTTTTAAGATTATGATAAACATAAATATAGTCAAATGTGTCCAAACATTTGACTAGACAAAGGCTTGATATCTTGTCATGATATATATATATATATATATATAAGCAATGAAGAAATTACAGTAATTATGAACATCGATGGTTGGATTGAGATGTTTGCTTAAAACTTAATTCACTGATTGTGAACTAGAGCTAAAAAACAAACAAAAACCAGATTGTTGTTTAGCTTTCTTTCACTGCTCTCTAAACGTGTTCATTTGTTGACAATATCAAGCTGATGCACTGGCGATTCCTTCAAAGCAGTGGAGCTCCAGGAGGGCCAGTTCCTTTAACAATACTCACTCTGTGTGTATCTGAATAGAGTCTAAAAGCCAAGAGCGCATCAATGTCCTTTCATCCACATCTCCACTCACTCCCAATGGAAACACATACAACTCTGATGGATATGCACTTTGAACGCAGAGATGCTATTGCTGAAAAAAAACAAAAACAAGTAAATGTCCCATTTGGGCTTCCGTTGACTTTTTGGTTTATAAAAAGGAAATGAGTATTAAAGTACAGAAAGCCAGATGGTCAAAAGGGTAAATGTCTGCTGAGAACAAAAGGAACAGAAATGTCATCCTCTAACAGATCACCAATTACGCAGCAACTTAAAGAACAACATCCTCAAGCCCTGAAGAGATAATGGTGCCTTAAAGCTGAGCCAGACATTTAAAACAAACAATTAAAAACAATTCAATGAGGATAAAGATGCTGTTTGGTGGAGTGGAGAAAAAAGAGAGTATAAAAAGAAAGAAAGTCTGTTTGGACATATGAAATTACATATAAAAAGTTACAGCAAATGTCTAGTGTGCTTCTGGCAAACATCCCGAGCAGTAAAACCGGTCAGTGTTTCTCTCTAGAAGGACCCACTTCAGCTCAGGTGACACACTTATTTGGCCTTGTGTTCTTGATTCAGTCCCAAGGTGGCCATTTCACTAAGCACAGCCATTGCAGTTTACCCCTAAACTACCTCCAGATGGACGTCACCACGCAACATGCTCTGCCTCACACGAAAGAAAGCATTTTTCGGCAAATAATACATTTAAATTTAAAAAAAAAAGAAAATAATAAATACTGGTTACTGTATTCATAATGCTTGGCTGTATTTGAGCAAAGCAGAGATTTGACGAGATGATAGGTTACAATAGGAGACAAGAAGTCAATCTGCCAAAGACAGACAAACACACACACATTTGATTATTTTATTTGGAATGACCAATACTGATTAAAACAACACAACATCCAAATATTCACAAAGAGCCTGTTATGTTTCACATGACAATACACACATCGACAATAGTCACAACAACCACATGAATATATAAATAAAGAGACTATGGATAGAGGTGACATCGCCTCCTCCAAACATGCAGGCTGTTTGCTTAGAGATCTTTTTACTCATTCCAGCAATTTGCAAACCCCTGACGCATAATCTGTGCACATGTCCTAAACTACCAAAGATTAGGATGATCAGTTTTGAGCTGTAACCACACACTGCTAAAGCATTTGTTAATGACTGTTATTTTAACATTTTCTCAGAAAAACACAAGTCCATGTAAGCATCAAAGCAACAACCCACTTCCAGAATCAGAATGTTTTTAGAGAGTTCATTGACAACTACAATGTCTGGAGTATTTGGATTTTCTCTGAGGACACTTCGTAGAAGGTTTTTATGTTATCATTCAGATTTGAAAACCAACTAGTTTGAACAGTCTTATTTGTATGTATTGCACTTTGTCCAGAAACTTTACGCAGTTCTTGAGCTGTTGTGTTTACGATGCGATCGTGGCGCGCGATGTAAAGGCCTTTGAACGCAGGGCACCCGTTCATTATGTGCGCTATAGATTCCATTGTTTTATCGCTGTGTAATAAGCAGAATTGTTCGTGGTGTTTTGGAAACCACAGGGAGAGGTTGTACTTAGTCGGGAGAGTTTGCAGCCGAGCTTTAATAACAAATTTTAGGATACCTCAGTTAACGGCTGAATTTTGTAACGCAGAGTGTGAGACTGTATGACACACACACACACACTTCAGCTTTAATGTTTTTAGTCATTAGTAAACATGCAGTACTACAGCTTTGAAGGTCTGCCAGCATACCTCTCAGAACAACTGAGTTTGCTGGCGCAAGTACATTACATTTTGATCAAAAGTGACAGTAAAGACATTTACATTGTTACCAAAGATTTCTATTTCAAATAAATACTGTTTTGAACTTTCTAATAAAAAAATCCTTTTTCCGCTTTGCCATTACATAAGTGTTAAAAGGAAACCAGCTTGTAAAATTTCACTCACAGCAGGTGAAAGAGTCCTAACCCCCCCTCCTTGTCCTTGTGAGCATGGCCATTCCTCTAACACACACTTTATAAACTCACTTCACATGCTTCAAACATATGGGACGACTCTGCAATATCAAATTAGCTTACAGCGTCCAGTTGTAATGCAAATGTGTTCGTGTTGGTGAATGCATTTGTCTGACGTTGAGTATGTGTGTGGGCGCGTGCACATCCATTCAGATTATGGGGAAATTCCCAAGTACGTCATAGATTATTATAATTAAACTAAATTCAAAAGGAAAGATCAAAAAAGAAACGTCAATAGCATACCATCTGAATGCTCATTCTTGACAAAGTGCCCAGCTATTACAGACACATAAATCAAGCAAACAGATATGTTTAGTGTGAGATAGATAGATCACAAGCCACGGTAATCCTAAACTACAAAAACAGAGATGTGGTTAACCAGGCCTCCAGGAGGAGAGAGGATCTTAAGAAGAGGTTATGTTCCTTATGGTGAAGGTTTGATTATATTTATTGTAGTCTCTCATTAGCTAAGATAAGTTCAATTCCTATCGTAACAACAGAACTTCTACTGTCTGTCACGTGTGCTCGTTTAAGATTATAAATTATAAAAACGATTCAATTAAAATGGTTAGTGGTGGAAGATATTTGTTAATTATTTTTTTTTAGAAATGTAGTGTGATATGGATTTAATATTATTCAAAGTGAGCAACATTTGTAATCTATAAAGCAAATAAAAAAAACTGTCCATTAGTATTGCCATTCATTTTAAATGAATTGTCATCTTTGCTCTTGTATGGAAGAAAAATAATGGCAAATGATTTTGAAACAAAAAAGCTTGTTGAAAAAATATGCATTACATTAACAATGCTTGCATTTTAATGCATTGTATTTTTAGGGCTTGTATTTTTATGGTATTTTTATGATTTTATTATCATATTCTTGGAATCATATTCATATATCATATCACTTTTTGAGTCAATAACCTTCACTTCACTAATGACCATTATTGGCACTAGTAAATACTTGTTACATACATTTATACACCATTGTTCAAAAGTTTGGGGTTGGTATGATGTTTTAATGTTTTTGAAAGATGTCTCTTATGCTCACCAAGACTGCATTTATTTATCAAAAAATAAATACATATATCATCAAATTTTATCACAATTGAAATTGAAAATATAAAAAACTTTTCTATTTGTATATATTTTAAAAACTAATTTATTCATGTGATGGCAAAGCAAAGTCTTCAGTGTCACATTACAAATATATTCAAATTAAATAAGTTGCCTTTTACCTAGCCTATGTTGTTAATGTGTTGCCTGTTATGGTGTTATCTTGTTTCGTACATTGTGAACTGAACCTACTAACTGAACCATGCTAACCTGCCAGATCTTGACCCCTACTCAGTAGAAATATTCATAGATTAATCTCATTTCACCGGGTACAGCATAAATTAACAGAGAAAGCGGCCTGGACAGAATTGACTAGTAACTTGATCACGAAAAGGTCCCAGTTAATGTTCCAGATTAATGCGTGTCTGGGAAACTGGCCATTTATGTTTTATGAAAAACAGATATGAGCCATAATTCTGTCACAATCCTTAGTCGACTGAAGTAATTCTTCGAGCAATGCCAAGTTTTCATGTGATTGTCTTGAGTTTCATCATTTATGTAGTTTTTTTTTCCAAATCAGAGGTTAGAGCATTTAGCAACGCAATTGACTAAAAAAGCAAGTATGACTAATCAATTCCTGAACATTCTGCTCACAATGTCTGAGCTAATTTCCAAACAGCCAGACTCCTGCACCCACTCTCACAAACACTCATTGTGCAACAAATTAATTCCCAAGGGGAAATGGAGTCCGCTGCTATTTTCTATGTAAACTTGTGTGCATATAAGTACAACTCCTATCTGTTTGAATAGGTCAATTAAATTACTATGAATGAATGAATAAATGAATGAATGAGGCATTTATATAGCGCTTTCATATGTACCACTGTACACCCAAAGCGCTTTACAATCATATCAGGGGTTCTCTCCTCAACCAGCACCAGTGTGCAGCATCCACTTGGATAATGCGACGGCAGCCACAGTACAACGGCGCCAGTGCGCTCACCACACACCAGCTATAGGTGGAGAGGAGAGAGAGTGATAGAGCCAATTCAGTGGATGGGGATTATTAGGAGGCCATGATTGGCAGGGGCCAATGGGTGGAATGTGGCCAGGACACCGGGGTTACACCCCTACTCTTTACGAGAAGTGCCATGGGATTTTTAATGACCACAGAGAGTCGGGGCTTCGGTTTAACGTCTCATCCGAAGGACGGACTAGTCTTAATGTGTTGCAGTACACTAAACTACATTCAGCCCTTCACATCACTATTCAGATGTTTATGTTTGAACCTGCGCTCAACTTCAGTACTGCTGCATCCATATAGTAACCAGCAAAAAAAAGAAAGTGTTGATGCACAAGATTAACAAAGATCATATAAAAGTTTTCTTAATAGGATTGAGTTTCTGTGCCTAATTGGGTATTTCTTTAACTACAAAGCAGGGTGTAGCTCAAGGGGTTAATTTGCCCACAAACAGTAAATATACATGCATTTATTTTTGGTCTCTTTATCCCCCTGAATGAACAAATGGCATTTCCATTTTAAAACTCTGAATAAATAATGACCATTGCTAACGCTGTGTCTACACTGGATAGGGCGCACGCAACACAATGAGTCTGACAGTAAACTGATGCTCCGTTCTATTTATTATGTACTCTATCTCTATGCACTTGCACAACTTTGACACAAAGGACAAATTGGTTTGCAGCAGTGGATTTGACTTGTCCAGCGTAGACAGCCTCAAGCTGTGACACGACAATGGTCGTGCCACATGTAGACATTACAATGTATCCTAAATACAATGAAATAATATAATACTTTTTACAACCTGTGATATTTTCCTCACACATTACATCTCAAGCATGCTCTTGTATCCTTGCACTAACTTTAAAAATATATATATTTGGGGCAAAATTTATGGTTGTGGTGAAAATTAGGAAGAATTTAGAAAGAGTCTGACCAAATATCTCTCGTCATCTTTCATCTGGGGTGTGCGGATCAAGTGATTCTGCTCTCCTCTCCAGTCCCCAAAACGACGAAAAAAGTAATTGGAGAGGAAACGGTTAATGGGATCCCTGATGATGTTTATGTAGACAGGCTGTTCAATCCTAAACCTGAGAAAGAAAGAAACAAAGAGAATGAGCACTGAATCGATAACTAATTTAATGGCAGGAAGAAATGTGCGTCTATCTTGGACCTGATCAGATACATTCAGATAAGTAATTCCTGATTTGCTTACCTTGTGAAATTGAGAAAGTGAACATGTCTGGTGTACAGAAAAGGCTGTGGAATAGTGCTAATGTTTCTCATCAAATCCACCTGGCAAAAAATCAACACAAATAAACAGAGATCAAAATGCATGTTACATAACCGTTCATGAGCATCTCTTCATTCAACAACACTGAAAATTATGATAAATCAAAATAGCAGTGTGGGTGCAACAAGTTACAATTGCAGAGCACACACACACAAAAAAATGAACAATATTTTAACCACTAGAAGCATCAGCTGCACGACATGTAATTATATATACTTCCTGTTGTGATGGTTAGTTTAATATACAGTTTACCATTTTATTAATTAACATCTAATACTTCCCTTTTAGGCCTAACAGGCTAACAATTCTAACACTCTGAAACACAATGTACTAAAACATTCTGTCCTGTGTTTTTGTTGTATGTTGTATGTTGTGTTGCCATACCCCTTTGACTTTGGTTGTGTGAGTGTATAAATAACAAATATGGGAAATAACTTGTGATCATGAAGTAATCACAGAAACAGAGTTTGTTTTACCTGGTAACAGAAGGGTTTGCATATGAAGAACCAATCAAATTGTTGTGAAATTATGTAATGCATCATGGCATTGTTGCCATACCCCTATTCTATAAAAACTGTTTTACTGGTGGGATTCTCAATGGAATTTGTCTGAGATCCCCCGGACATGCTTAATGCTTCTTCTTGGGGGAAGTTCTCAGAGGAAATGTCGAGAACTCCTTCCCGGCCGTGTTTAAAGCATTTAGAGGACATTTGCTGAAGTCTGTCTGTTTCTTACTGCTGCGCAGCAGGTCAGTTTAGGGAAGTAAGTAAGCTAGTTAGCAAGTAAGAGTATAGGATTAGACTCAGCTGAAGTCGACTGTAGACTCGCTGGAGTATAGACTAACATTGACTGAAGACGTTAGGGGACGTCGATTGTAGACGAGACCCAGGTACGTAGTTGGGTTTAGGGAAAAATCTACCACACTGTCAAACAAATAAATAAAATGCTTACAAACAAATTAATTAATATAATAATAATAATAATAATAATATATAGAATAGAATTACAGGGTATATACCAAATTAACCATAATTAATTAAAGCTGCTGTCTTCAGTGGCTATAAAACAATAATTCTTCAGCCACAGCGGTGGATCTATTTAAAAAAAATAAACCATAAACGCTATGCAAGTAGTTTCAAAGTGAATTTCAGAATCACACACACACACACACACATCTTTGTGGGGACTCTCCATAAACGTAATGTTTTTATACTGTACAAACTGTATATTCTATCCGATTACACTAACCCTACCCCTAAACCTACCATCCCAGAAAACCTTCTGCATTTTAACATAAAAAACAAAACCTCATTCTGTATGACTCATAAGCTTGTTTCCTCATGGGGACATAAATTTAGGTCCCCACGGTGACACAAGTCCGCATGAGGCGGTGTGCATTCAGGTTGAAGTCCCCACCGGAATAGAAAAACAAACACACACACACACACCCACACACCCACGTAACATTCTTCACGTGGATGGTGCGTGGTGCAGTGGAAAGAAGCTGACTTCTCATTACCTTAATGTTTCCTAATGAGGGCCAGCTGGGGCCCCAGTCAGCTCTGATAGAGCCCATGTGTCTCTAAATGCATGTTACAGTCTCTACAAACATACCTATACAGGCATAAGGAGACTTAACAATCCCTATAACAGATCGGCATACGAGGAGCGGGATGGCGTAATGCTGGTCTGGTGTGCCAGGACGGTATGTGTAGAGTGCAGCACTCGACAATAGGTTCCAGAAGTTTCTGGCTTGGAAAAGACCACCCTCAGAATTGAGATTTCATACCGAAATCTAAACCTCTTTATACCCCACATCTCCGTCAAACAGCTTACCACACTGTAACAAGTGCCCCACTTAAGCTTTAATCTTTTATCAAACGCTGCATCAAAGCCAAAACACACATTCTGTAACATCCTGAGGTAGTGACATCATCTTAATGAGATTTCCTGTGCTGTAAACGCTTATATGGGCACAGACATGGCCGTGCAATGTACAGCTAAAGTAATGATATACGAGGTGTTGATAGAACCACATCACAAGTAACACCTCAGGTTGTGTGACACTGGGTAAGCAGTCTGTGGTTTAGTGTTTTGAGGCTAATTAAATTATAGTGACATTATTATTATTGTGATATGCCAGAAGAAACATTAGTGTGACCCAATGCTTTATTTTTCTTACTAATACACAGTTTAGGTCATTATAGGTTTTTTTTCTTCTTTTTTTCTAAAATGTTTTAACAGTTAAAGAATTTTGGTGGAAAAAGTATCACGGTTTCCACAAAAATATTAAGCAGCACAATAAAATTAATAACAATAATACAATTAAATAAATAAAAAATTCATAACAAAGTACACTTTTAATCTATATTGTGCTGAAACTTCTCATGTCAAGCACAAGAAGATTAACTTTAAACTAACGTATCTGGAATAGATGACCACTGATGGTTAACAGCCGAGTCTTCAGAATTTTCATATTTGTTTGAATATGAAATACCCCTTTAATAACAAAACCTTGTTCTACACAATCACATTATGATTGTTTAATGGAGAGGAGGTTCATTCGTACTTGTCTCATTGAAAGCTCAGACTGAACATTCCCTTTATACACACAAATAATAAACTTTCTTCTCTAAATGAGATTTTTATGACCCTTATCCCGCAGATGCAGATGCTCCAACGCCACAAACAGGTCATCAGCCACAATCACAGCTGTCAGCCAGAGAAAACAAGGACTGGAAATGCACTTAATGTGCACAAAAAACGTTATGCTAATTTGAACTAATTATGGACGAAGCCGAGGGGTTAATTCTCCAAGCAAGGTCAGTGGTTTATCGGGTTATTAAATTTCACTTATGTATAAATGATACACATCAAAACAAGACGTTAAACCCTTATTTTATTTTATTGAGTTAAGATTGGACCCACCCTTTCATTCATTATTATTATAAAATGATTTCCACATTTTAGAATACCAGTAATGTCATACAAGCAATAAAATAAAACAAGTGGAAATATGGAAATTGTGAAGTGATCAGAAGTATTAAACAAATCAAAACAATCTTATATTTTAGCTTCTTCAAATATAGCCACACTTTGTCTAGATAAATATAAATACATTTATTTAAACAGCAAATGTTGTTCAAATGAGCTTCAATTATTTGGGAAGTATTTTATGTATGAGTGCGGTCCCACTGGATCATACGGCACCTTCACACCTTCTTGTTCGCTCTTGCAGTAGTTTCACCAACCAGGTATGGACATTTGTTTACGTAAGATTCCAAGATAAATCATCTCAGTCTCAAACAGAACACAAAAGAAGATATTTCGAAGACCGGTGGGGTCCAGAGATATCTTTCAGTTTCATTGTATGGACAAATAGACATTTTGAAAATATCTTCTTTTGCATTCCACAGAAGAAAGAGTCATTTAGGCTTGGAATGTCAGAGAACATTCTAAGAATATTTGATACCACACTGTGAATCACTTTCATTTGCTGTTTTCCCCTATCTTTCTGAACATACACCACCGTTTTAGGACAGTTAGTCTTTCTGATGGCAAAGAAACCTGTATGTGTTCTGAGCTTACTCCTGTAAACACACACATTTAATATTAGCTTTGAGTATTTACCGTACATCTAACCAGTTTACACATTTGAAAACCTATGAATAATGTATCACTCAGAAAAACATTTTATTCTAGGGTTCTGGAAGGTCCCATGCTGTCCAGAAAGAATTATGAGTGTACTCTGGGATATAGACGGATTTCCAGTGAAAAGTCTTCATTTTCATGTTAGTCACTTTTATTTCACTCTCCCACTCAACAAACGCATACGAGTGTTATTTAATCAGCTTATTTATTTGAGCTTTTCATAGGTTGAGTTTAGCTGTGTGGAGGTGTGGTGGCTCGACTCTACCCAAACGGGATGACAGAATATTTTCTTTTCCTCTCCGCAAAGGAAGAAAGTGTGTGTTTTTCTCCACAATGAGTGCCATTCGGATGTGTTTCATTGCAGCTGGCATTCAGTGAGCATTTCCCTTGGCAAACACCTTTATTTAATCACATCAGCAAGTTTTCACAGTATGCTTTTTATATTAGCGCGCTTTACAACTTCTCGGAGACATTAGTTGCCTCAGACACACTCACCCATCCACTGACCTGCTCATGCTTTGTGAGTCTGGTTTTGTTATGGATGTCAGAGGACACCAGGTTAAACTGGTGCTTTTCTGCCAAAATCCTCAGCAGCAGGACAACTGTCCGACTTCCACACTTGCCAACCCTGTTGTAGATCACCTGACTTGGGAATGGCAGCTCCTAGAGACACAGACATTGAAATGCATAGTTATTAGGAAGAAGACGACGACTTTATGCAACCATATCTTCTCTTCCATGTCAGTCTCTGACGCTGTTCACGTTGTAAACACAGTGCAGCGCTTCCGGGTTCTACATCAGAACGTCGGCTCAGTATCGTCCGGCTCCTGCGTCAGCACCACACCACACGTAGTGCTCACGTGAACCACGTCAGAGACTGACAGTTATTTTTGGGGATAAAATTAAGGCTGAACCACTGTAGTAAAAGAAAGAAAGAAAGAAAGAAAGAAAGAAAGAAAGAAAGAAAGAAAGAAAGAAAGAAAGAAAGAAAGAAAGAAAGAAAGAAAGAAAGAAAGAAAGAAAGAAAGAAAGAAAGAAAGAACAAACTACAAATTTAAGAAAGCTATTACTGTCTTTAGTAATAATAAGCATGTTTAAGTAACTCAATTCAATAATTGAGCCACATTTAGTGCACACTGCACAGTGCCCCTCGAATAAGCCAGGGTTAAGTGTTTCACTCAAGGACACAATGGTGATAGTTCAGGTTTGCCCCTTTAGGATCTAAAATCTAGAAGCTTCCAGTTTCCAGCCCAGATCTTTATTCACTACTCCACACCACCATAAGAATGAGTCTTTAAGAAAGAGTCAGAGGAATCTTTTTAATTCCTAGATGAACATCCAGTGTGTAAAAAAAGAATGGGATTCCCTGCAGGCCAGCATCCTAGATGGAACTGGGTTTGGAGAGATGATCTGTCCCCTCTGTGCATGTAATATGAGAAACGCTCCTGAGAACAAACATTTATGTCAGAAGCAGTCTGTGTGTTTATGTTTGAATGTGTGACATGACTTTCAACTTCACTACAGCAGTCACGCTCACTTTTATTCAAGTCTGTAAACACACCCCTCCTCCTCTCTGGAGTCTCGGGACCCCTTCAAGCCTTTTATTATTTGGTCTCTCTCAGTCTCACACTCCATAGTGTTGAACTGCGCTCTCTCCCAAAACAACAAATGCGTTCAAGTTCAGAGAGAATGCCCTCTTTTCACCTCACACACACATAAGAGACCTTGTCTGAGCCCAGCTGCCTTGACATTTCTCCCCCATCCTGTTTTCCTCCATTTCTCTCCCTCTCTCGACATTTACTCCTGTCTCACTCTTCTTCTTAGATAATCACGCTTCTATATATGTCCTTCCTACTCTAATGCAAAATAGATGCATCCTGCAATTTTTAGATTGTTCTGTTTCAGAAGCCTTTATAGATCCATATTTACACTACACATTCAAAAGTTTGGGGTCAGTAATTAAAAGAAATAAATAAATAAATACTTTTATTTAGCAAAGATGCATTACATTGATCAAAAGTCAAAGTAAAGACATTTACATTGTTAAAAAGTTTTCTATTTTAAATAAATGCTGTTCTTTTGAATCATCCTGATTCCTGAAGTAGTATTACTAGTAGTATACTGAAAAGTATTAAGCAGCACAACTGTTTTCAACATTGATAGTAAGAACATCTTCTTTTTCTGCACCAAATCAGCATATTATAATGATTTCATGTGACACTGGAGTAATGATGCTGAAAATTCAGCTGTGCCATCACAGGAGTAAATTACATAATATTAACTATGTTTTTGCTCAAACACAGGCCTTGTACACTAATACTTTAGTTTGGACTTCTTTCTCTCCGTTTTGGTCTTCAGTCCACACCAAGACTTTTATTAATGAAAACGAAGCTTTTTGAAAACATTTTTCGGATATAAATGTGGATATAATTGAAAACGCCGTTTTCACATTGTAGTGTGGACTGTGAAAACTGAGGTATTTAAAAACGATAAAGCACGTTTAGTCATGTGACGCATATTGTACCAATAGATATTCATGTTTATACCGGTATTGTGCCTGTTGTGGGCTATTCACTTTCACACAGTTGCTAAAATATGTTACTTTGCGCACTCTTCATATCACAATACTGCAAAGATGACTGAAATTACTCGCATTCGCTGTCCTGCGGAAAAACATGAGAGCAGTTGCGTTTAGACCAAACATATAATGGTGAGGCCATCCTTAAAAATATTCTTGTTTGCCGTAACCCGACCGACCCTGTCAATTTAGGACCGACCCAATTTTTTATTTTTTTCCCCTTTTAGTCCGACCGACTTGCCGGTTGTAAACTTGCATTAAGACCGACAGATTTTTTTTTTACTCTTCAAACCACTAATACAAATGCAATAAAATATCAATTATATTATAGTAAGTATTGTGAATATAAATTGCATAGGCTACGTTCTTTCTTTTAAATAAAAACCCGTGGCGTCATCTATGATGATTATGTTTACACCATTGGTTTACGCATGTCACACTAGGGCCTGTGCGTTCGCTTCGTTTCATTCACGGTCAATGGTTCACGGTCAATGGTTCGCGCTCGGTGATGGCTGCGGCGCGGCTGCTTCTGAAATACGTCTGTATGAGCCTACATTTAGGCGCTCATTATTCGAAATTCTTAATGGTCAAATAGGGAATAGATGTTAACAGCCTTTTCTCGGAGCGCGTCCAGCTCGTCACGATATGGCCGCCGCGAACGCGCGTCACACAGCAACGGCAGGCTCCGACAAACACACATAAGTATGGGAAGCCAAACACACCGAAAGTGGGACGAAACGGCGCGGTGTTACAGAGTTCGCGCAGCGCGGACATATAATCTGTGCGGCTCAATGGACCGAGACGCGCGAGCGCGACAGGACAGACTCGACAGCGCAGGGAGGAAGTGTTTGCTTGCGCGACCTAATCTCACCAGCGCCGCGCTGACCAATAAAAACAGCACATCCCATACCGAAATGTACTAAATTACACTAAAGAAAATCGACCATTCCATAATATGTCAGGACTACTTAATATAGTTTCTACAATGCGCCTAGCCATTTGAGCTCACTGATTCCGTAGCAGATGTTTATGGGTCAAATTTAAACGAATAGTGCCAAATGCGCTGTTTTATTGGTCGGCGCGGCGCTGGTGAGATTAGTGATTTTACTTTATTTGTTTCCCTCTGAAAATCCACTCTTTTTCCCCAAATGAATGCAGCTGGAATTAATGCAATAAACATGTTTTTTGACAAAGATTTCAAATTGTTTGTTGTCTATAACCTGTATCAGAATGAGATTCGCAATGGTGCGCCCAAAGGCATGGGTTGAAGACACAGTCAGTGGCGTCATGATATGCAAATTTGTTTAAATTCATACCGACGTAATCACCATGACCAAAATTGTCCTTTTTTTTCCCATTGAATTTTGGAAAAAAAAAATAGACCTACCTACCGACCCTTTTTTTTTTTTTTTTTTTTCTGTTACTGCAAACCAAAATATTTTTAAGGATGGCCTGAGTGAGTGTGTGCGACCAGGACGCATCAGTAAATTGTGAGATATTTAGCTAAATAAAATGATCCTGCCAGAAGGATTGCATGACTAAAAAACTTTATTAAGTCTTGTTCCGTCTGTATCATCTCAGTGAGCTTTTATGAGTGTTTACGCATGCGCCGTAAGGTGAATTCAGTGAGGATGGGTATCATTTGGAAAACGCTAGTGGAGACTGGAGCTAACATACGTCGCTGTAGTATTTTTGTAGTATGTTTCTGTGCAAGTATGTTGAGTTCTTGTTAGATCTGTAAACGTATGTTCAGAGTTTGAGTGTTTTCCACAGCTGTGAGATGTTAAAACTGGTTGTTATCATTGCTGGCTTGAGGTCTTTTAGTAACTGTGGGGGTTTCAGCTACCAAAGACTTTACCAAACTAGACAGATCCACACAAAACATTATTACCTAGGAAAATAGGAAAATTTATAGACAGGTACATCTTTTTTTTATAGTAAACAGAAGCAGTCCTGGTAGAAACGGGATGATTTACACACATGCACACATTGAACTGGACTTTGATTACATTACTTTCTTATTCAGGAAGTCATAATTTCCAAATGTTTAACTCTGAGCTGTAAAATTTTATATACATTATATTTATATATAGAAAGCACAAGTGTGTGTGTGTGTGATTTCAATCACATTCTTGTGCACATCTGGTCTCTATGGTAAGATATATTTATTTTTATTTTAGGTTAACATTGCTTGAATTCACTTGTGATTATGGCAATCTTTAGAAGTTGATAAAGGCTGAATTAAATAAAAACAGTGGAAGAAATAGTAAAGAGTAGTATGCTACTATGCTATTCTGAAGTTCCTAACCCTGAGTAGCTCTGTTAGCCAAGCAAATCAGGTCAAAGCAAATATAGGTTGTCTCTAAATCAAATCAAGCTTGACCACTATAATTAAATATGTATGTTTGAGTCTCTTTCTATTTCAATCTCTGTCTTTGGACAGCTGCTGATGCACACACTCTCATCTTTGTCCATCTTTGTGGCTCAGGTCAAAGATGAGCATTTTAAGGAGTCTACAGTCCAGTGAAGAAAATCTTTTGTCTTCTCTTTCTTATCATTCTTATCTTCATCCACTTTTACTTGCAAATGTATCTTATATATCTTGTAGACTTATGTAGGATTTTAGATAATAAGATTATTCAATATAAATATAACTAGTCCAAATTGCTATTACTTGATCTCTGGATTATATAAAATATAACATGTACTACAAAACTTTCCCTTTGACATTGTTAAACATTGTTAAACCCTCAAAAACACAATACGCTAGGGGGATATTTATCAGAATGTTTTAACAAATGTTACTGCTCTCAGGAGGCAGGTTATTGAATAAACTGTAAATAAAGACTTATTTTACAGAGGCATTGAGGCCTCTCGAGTGTATATTCAATACAGGAAATGTCCATACTTATCACAGAACAATCCCTCTAGTTAGAAACAATAAAACGTAGTTTGTACCATTTACATTTGAACAAGGCCATCGTTAAAATTCACAAGAGTATTTTTATGGGTGGACCTCCTCTCCTGTTCTCTTCTGGACTCGTTTGTCATATGCGAGTGCAATCACACACAGTACGATCAATGA